AAGTTTGTTGGATATATTTTGAAGTGTCAAGCCAAGTCTTCTTAATGCTCTTATTTCAATACATTGATTGCGAGTTAGATGCTTGCAAACTTTAGTTCTTGAAGCAGATTTTTCGAGAGACATTGTTTGCTAGAATGAGGATGAATTGATAGTGATGTTAAGTTTCGGGGATTGTGTTGGTCAGGCAGCCAAAAGTGTCAATAAAAATGTGTTTCTCTAAGCAATTATTAGAAGAAGACAATTGGACCATACTTCATGGCAAGCGGGGTAATAAGGAGAGACAGTCTAACCTATTACGAGCTAGCTCAGCTGCGCCTACAGGGCTAATCCCTTCAACAACCCAGTTTGGAGTTTTACCTTTTCCAACCTAGAGGCACTGTTTGTTGGCACAGGCTGGATCTGCTAGCAGATAGATAATGGTTGGTCACTTTGTTCTTAATTCTCTATCTAAGCTATCTACAGAGAGTTATCTTATGTAGGTACCAAGGCCCTAGTACAATAAACACCCGTGCCTGAAGGCCTGCACTTCGGACCAATCAGAGTAATCCAGACAGTATACAAATTGAAAAGTTGAGAGGGTTTTACCATAAAGGAATCCTCCTATGTAAATACTAGAGTTTGTAAACACCTGCATAGGCCTTAAGCCGCCAAATCAGGCTGAATGAAATAAATTCAAACATATGTAAAGATAGAGACCGAAGTAGTTCTCTCTTCAGAATGATAATTTACATACTATTGACCACATAGTTGCACCAGCACTCGTTTCTTGATCTGTGACGCAGAGTAACTCAGGCCTCAAAGAGTACACCCATGTCAAACTCGAGGGTGCCAAAGGTAGCGTCGGGAGTGTTACTGAGTGACTTGGGAAATATCTGAGGAAGTTGGCAAGAGTCAAAGGTATAAATTTGTGATTTTCACTAGAACTAAAGACGAGGGACGAGGGAATCTAGGATCGGAGACAGGGCCAGTGGAAGACGGAAGACAAGACGTGGCCCTCTACTGCGGCTCTGTCCAATCCATATATACATCATAGTAACCAGAGCAACCTAGGCCTCATAGAGTCCACCTTTTACTACTCAATTACTCGATTTGTAACCTATGGCAACCATTATATCCCAGTAACCTCTATCCTCAGTTCCTGACAACCTACTACTCAATTACTCAATTTGTAACCCATGGCAACCAATCTTAGGTGAGTAAATTCTCGCAGATTGTGTCAGGAAAGAATACAGAAGTGCTGCTCTACCCTCAGTTCCTAACAAAGACCCAAGCAACGCGCTCCTCAAACATTCCCACGCCTGTCACATCTTTGAAATGATGTTGGAAAATCGGTATCGGTCCGATGAGTAAGGTGGCTTAAAGAATAAGGGCGCAATCTATGAATAATATAATAATTATAAGAATCTGGTAAATATGTGATATATTGTGGAGAAATAAAAAAATGGATTGAATTAATTTATTTATTTTATGTCTTGGTCTTAAGAAAGATACGTGGTCCACAGTATTATATTGCAAATGTTGACTAGAGAGCTCTAATGCTACAGATGAAGTCTATGTACTGATAGCCAGGTCATGTGACCTGACTAGCTTAGTTTACATGAGTAGGTGGCATAGTTCCCCTTGACACTTGGTTAGATTAGATTATATTTTTTTATTATAGTCCCTACTGGATCTAAGGCTATGGAGGACTTCGTGAATCTAACTAAAGATTCTAGTTACATTTAAGAGATTTTGATTTTGAAATATGCCTAATTTTGTTCTTATAGAAATTGAGGATCGAGCCCTTTATCTGTCTTGGTGATTCCTAGACAGTTTATATACATTGTACCTGATAGACTAAATCTAAATTTAAATAACGTCCATGACTCGTCCCATACTCTAACAATGACGATGAATCGCACGACAGTATATAACATGAGTATGGGGTCAGGGTCGGTGGATGAAAGTCTGCACGGGTACCTGACCATACCATGCACTAATTGAGTCTCAAGCATCAAACATGATCAATAAAGGAGATATTGTCAAATAAAATTCAGTTGTATTATGGGATACTAGACGAGATTTCTCTATATACAAGTGCCAAGACGCTAGCCTTACGCTAGAGGCTTTCATGCTGATTCTTAACAGATATCAATCATCTTGATCGTGGGTCATGTGTGAGAATCTTAGTTGTAACAATCATAGGGGAATTTCAGACACATAGAGTCTGAATTTCCAACAAATGACAAACTTTACGCATTCTCTGCTGAGAGCTGGAGATGAGATGACAGGTTTCCTCCATAGTTAGTAGTCGCTCTTCAAAATTTGTTGAATTTATTATTGAATCCTTCCAGGTGCTCCTCGCACCTCACGCCTGTACCACGAAATTCAAGGCCTCAGAGACTAGCCCCCCTGACATCGTCGAATCTTCCGGGGCAGGTTTATTTCCTGCCTCGGCCTTCCTTCCAGCAGCCTTCGCTAGTGCTACTGTGGCGAACTCTCCTTAGATGGCCTGTTGAATAAAACTCAATTGATCCTCGGTTATCAGGCCTGCTCAAGTCGGTCGAGGCAAGCAGTTTCGACTATCCCAACTGTGAGGACCACCACAGTTTCGATACTTGGTGGTAGCTTTGCACTCCGCATCAGAGTGCATTATGTTGGAAAATATACTCTGTACGATATTATATGGATATAAGATGACGAAGTAAAGAAGACTCAAAATTTTACCACCATGCAAATATTGAAGTTATATATACATCTATAGTAGAAACCCTCGCCAGTCTTTTGTACCTGTGAAACTTAGTAATGACCAGTCACCTGTCATCTATCATGATGAGCCAAGTTACACTGCTTTACGGAAATACCCAGACATATATGCAACAGAAGGTGCGATTAGCGTACTTGGGACATGCGTAGAGAGAGTCAATCTTGTCGGGGAGCTCAGACGTGACAGATAATGGTTGAGTCCTAAATTCGAGAGTCAGAACTTCCCACATATTGTTGAGCCACAGTTCCAGCAAGCCAGAGCGCGGGAGCAACCACGGGTGGCGTGGTGGCCGAGGTAACATCGACACTGCTCGATTTGGCGACGAGGTAGGAGCTTTGTAGCTATTCCATACCTTTCGAAAAGGTAGAAGCCCGCATGAGGTGTAAAATCCCGAGGAAAAATGACATTTCAATTGCGAGTGGGTGCACCGGGACGGTATATCTCATATGGTCGCACCTATAATGGCTCTTCTTGGGTCACTCTAGTAATCTCATCATAGATACACTCCGTGGGGACTCTTTCACAACCCTTCAGTGTGTTGACCTTCACTGGCATACTGGCTATGCGGAAGGCGACAAGGTTCGAGGATGGCCCGATTTTGGCGTTAACACTCGCCAATTTTGATGAGGCATCCAGGAGGCTATATCTCTGCTCGTCTTTTTTTGCCACAATGTCACAGTCTAAGCATAGGCACTTGGAAAACTTTATGGTCAGAGGTAGTTTCTTTTCAATCGATGGTGAACTACAGACTGAAGAGGATAATAAAAGTTACTTTATACATGATTATTATCCCAGCCAATGACACAGCTTTCTATATGTATATCCGTAAATTCGTTCTCGTCCCCCACCCTTGAGTCTTATTCTCGGAAGCTTCACAATATTGATATTGCCACTTATAAGCCCCCGCTTCCGAAAATAGGCTCCACATCGTTTGACTCTGAGCCTACGTTAGACAGCGCAGGCTACAGGCGATTCCCGGCTTACCAGCCGTCACACGCAATGGCAAAACCTGACTTAACTCTATGCATCAAGCTATTAGTGATGGAAACGGATATCTTATGTTCCAAAGATGCGAATAAGATATCCGCAGATGAAAATCTCCGCCACGGTTGGTTGCTATCAAGTCATAGGAACAGTCGTTTGTCCACTTTTGCTTGACAGTCTCTTTTTTTTGGTCTGTAGCCGCAGCTTGCGGCACAGTTCCCATTAATGGGACTACTTTTTGTCGCGGTCCATCTCGCACCACTGTAGCCCAGGTGTTTGTTGTAGGCTTGGCTGGGACGGCGAGTGAATTTTGGCTCCTGACATCAGGAACTCGAGGAGGAAGGACTGGTGGCGAAGTGGCCGTACCCGTAGCCATGTATTCAGCAATGGCTGCGCGTAGGTAGAATCTCATCGAGTCTACGAATTGTCAATTTGACCCGTTGGTCAAAGTAAAGTGACAAATTCGCCGCTGTTTGGGTGGTGCGTCGTTCGGCCTCGCGAATCGGTCGAAGCTCGGGTGGACACTCTGCTTTTATAGTAGATTTTGGCTGCGACGTTGGTCTTGGTGCTGTATCTGGAGCAGCGTTCTCCATCAGTTTTGACACGGTCGGAGAGGAATTAGAAGGTCCTCCAATCCCATTGGAGGTGGAGGGTTGAGGAATTTTCTCAACAATTTTGACCGACCTGATCATGCCAGCATCGGGCGCAGAGACGGTGAAAGGGCTTTTTCCTTCCCTTTGCTAAAGGCCTTGCCCATCTCCACGTATCCTGGAGACTGGGAAAGGCTCATTGTTTGATCGGAAAGATTCGAGCGAACTCTCGTGTTGTCCAACATGACGTTTGGACGCTTTTTCCGAACAGGCGGCATGATAAGAATGCCGGATTCTCGAATTTTCCGCATGTGTGCATGTAGCGCGAGGGGGGATAATTGGAATGTGGGAATGTTCGAAAATTGCTAGGAATAGTAGCATTGATCATTTTTCGTAGCTAGATAGCTGAATATAAAATTAAGAAAGAAAAAATCAAATCAACCACTAAATGTACGTTTCTGGCCGCATAACCCTCCCTTTATAATGATTCAGCACACTAAAGCCTCTATTCAAAAGCCCAACGGCTTGCGAAAAAGAAATATGCGGTGCAGCATCATGCAAATTATTAAATACGATAACTGTCTATACAGTACACAAAAACTAATTACCAATAGTTTTTGTGCACACCTATACAATATACAAGTCAAGGTAAATTTAGCATTTAAAGCATAGTTAAATATCTACCAAGAAATATGCCCTTCTGTGTGCGATTTTTTCTTGTAAATCTCAACCTCTTCATCGGTTGGCCAGCCACCCCAACTATATATACTTGAGATTAAGGCTTTCAGACGAGGTTCAAATCGTGTTTTCTTACAACACGTATGGATAGCCAAAAACACTCTTCGAAATCTTACCTTTGCACCCTTACTCTCTTGTTCTATTATTTCATCAAGTTCTTTGGCATGATCCGACATCCACTGAACAGTTGTTACAATCTCTTCATAATCTTTAGCAAGGGCTAAGCATCGAATGTAGGCATGAAGATGAATTCCGCGTATTGGTTCATACAGTTTTTGAAAATCTTCTTGGTGTTGACTTGACTTTGAAAGTCGTTTAAACTCAGATTTGAGAAGTAGATGCGCTTCCATCAGACCTATAGTTTCGTTTTCATTTTTTATCCTAGCTACTGCTCGTGAGTACTTTTGAATTCCATGACAGAGCATACTGAAGCCACGTGCATTAAGTTGCAGACCACAATTTGAAAAGTCAGCAAGTGAAGCCCGAAAGAGTTTCCAAGCGAGTATATCATTCCTCGAACTATCATTGACATCCAACGAAACTATGATATTTTCACGGCTCAGTGCCCGAAATAGAATATACCAAGGTAATTGGGATGTTGGTTTTTGGGTGCTCAAGATGTAGGCAGCTAGGCGCAGGGGTTGATTAAGCGATATTCCGTAAGAAGATCTACCGACCAATTTTTTCACAATCCAACGTGAATCTTGCTCTCTTGCACCCGTATGGAGTGGGTCCCTAATAGCTCTTGGCACAAAACGGCAAATTAAATAAAGAAATTCAACTAAAATTGATTTAGGAATTTGGGGTGTATTTTTCAGATTTGGGGATTCTGAGAACAGCCTGAGAGATTCAAGAGTATCTATACTTAAGCCACCATCAATAAGATAGCGAAAGCCTTCATCTGGAGTTCTGGAATTTCGGACGAGGAATTTTAGACATCTTCCCGCAGGACGTTGACCAGATTGTAACATTTCAGAATATAGACGCTGAATACTTGGTGGCTCAAGATCTCTTTTATAGTATTCGCTGAAATTATTATCTGGAATAGGCAGAACTTCCCTTCCATCGCCAGGTATAGGATTATACTCACGATTTCGACCTTCGACAACCAATTGGTATGTGAGCTTCTCAAATAAGGCTAAGTACGTATCCTGAGAAGGCTTTCCACCTCTCTTTTTGAATTCAACAAAAGCTGTCCAAGCTTCTTGTATATTACGAGTGGCCATAATTCTGGCGGCCCAAACGTTTGGATTAGATTCATCTGATTTTCCGTGATGTGACACAGGCCAAGGGAGAATTCTTCTTTGTTGGATTGTAGGTGTACCGTCAAAATCCTGACCACCAATAATCCTTAATGCATCATCCAACCAGCCTCCACTGTACCCAGCTTCATTCATACGACATATTCCTGCGACAACTCGGCTAGGATCTTCATTGGATGAAAAACTAGCATCCATACCGTGTTTAGCGACAATCCATGGCGGCCAATTTGGTGAACGTCTAAGGGCACAGTCCTTTTCATTAGGGGTCATCTCACGGGCTGCAAGAACCTGCACTATGGCCCTGTAACTAGAATGACTCAGGATCAATGCAGGCCGAAATTCTGTAGCTAGTTTCAACAATATTTTTTGAGCGTTCCAGTTGTGAACAACCTGACTGTAAGGTTCGACGGTAGCTTGGTATGATAGCTCGACCATGAGTATGTTAAGTATATTGCATAATTGTCTGGATAGATGTGAATCTAGTGATTGGGAATTGCAGTTGGCCTTTTCTACCAGAATTTTAGTATACGAAGAAGCCATAAGTGCTACATTAGTCATTGAAGCAGGCCAGAGTCTTCGCGATTGTCTTAGTAGCCGCCTTGCTAAGTCTACAAACGTAAATCGATCAATATAAGTAGCTGGTGATTTCTGCTGTGTTCCATCATGTTTGATTCGTCCAGGGCTTGAAAACTCATAATCATTTTGCCTTACACATTGTATTATTTTGTTGCTTGATAATAATCTTGTTTTCCTAGAGGATCTCTTGCTGAGAATAAGGTCCCAAACGCAAGAAAATAGCATATCTAAAGATTTTGTAGAACTGAGATTAGTGTTCATGACGTGCATTATTAAAAACTCTTGCAATTGATGATCTGATTCGTAAATTCGTTTTGCCATTTCATCGGCACGCTGCGTAGAGAGAATGTAGGCCCAACTTTCGACATCTTCCCAACAGAGATTTTTAGATTCCAATGTTGATACAGCAATGCGAGTTATCTCGTGGTCAAGTGACGTTCTCGAAGACTTCAACACTTGTTAAATCGCGAGTAAAATAGGGTAAAAGATTTAAATAGCTTACGACTTCGGTATTAGATATGTGGAAAAAATGTACAAGAATAGTGGGCAATAATGTCCCGCAGCTTTCAGATCTGATATTATTCCAGAATTTTTGCCTGAGAGAGGTATCACGTATATTAAGATAGTCTGTGAGGATATCACCTGCCCAGTATCTATGCCCGTAAGTGTCACCTCGTCTCCATGGTGCTTTCAAGGAGTTATCATGACAGTTATAAGTATTATTGAGCTCTTCATTTTTCTCTTTATCCTTTATAGTGGGATTTGTGTGATATTTTGCGAAGGAATTTCGAGAAGTGGGTTTATTGAGAAGGATTGTATGACTCTGAGATAACTTAGTATTGTCAATGGAGATGTAGAAGTTTATATTTGGTATTTTGGGCTTACCAGATTCTCAGGAAGTGAGGTTACAGTTCTTAGAGCAGCCTGAAACGACTTTTCTCTACCAACCAAGAAGAATGAACACGATTGCATCCGATCATGCTGTTGAGTCTGATATTCACTTCAACGGACCTGTTAGATATCTCATCTCTTGACTGTCGAGCATGACAGTTGATTCTTCAAAATTATACTAGCCTTAGTTGCTAAAATATTCCTAAGGCGTAAAACTATGCACGTACCATGTCCGAGCAAAATAGGTGCGCGAAGGAGCGACGTTTAACCATTCGCTCTATTATTGATAAATGCACTTACGGCATGGATTACGATTATCTCGTTCAATTAAGGAAACTTGCAGCAATTGGGAAACCACAAAAGGATTAAGTAAAGCATACTGCTAGTTTGAAATATATTGTGTTTCATGTCGTGTTCATCACTCGAACAATCCCTCACCAGAATTGACGCGATCTATAACCCGAAATAATAATAAAATCGACAGAATTATTTAATTTAAAACTCTAAAGATGAATGGAGTTCTCAGCCCGCCCTTGATTTCAGAACCGGCAACTACGTCGATAAACTTATCCTCCAAGAGAAAGCGTGATGATAATATTCTAGATTCTGAAAATGCGGCACTACCCGCGATGTCCACGGCAGAATCGCTAACTTTAATTACGGATCTAGTTGATGTGTTGAAAGTGTAAGATACTCAGGTTCAATTTGTCTTAAAAGCTCGGTATTTCGACTGAGTAGTCATCTCCATATATTGTGGCACTAACGACACCTAAAGAGATGACACAACTCCATCAATATTAACGCGCCCTCTCTCCAATAAACATTCTATGAATGGCTCTCAAAGTAAGCGACCTAAGACCGAAGATATTGGGGAGTCAAAAACATCTATCCTATCACGACTATCAACAAAGGCATACAGTACTGTCCATCAAGTTCTGAAAGACATTGATTTGGCAGCTCAAGACATTTTAGAATCAAACGGATTATCCAATAGCATAACATCGCTGAATTTTCCAGAAGTTTCCACAACTCGACCTGAACTAAAACTGAGGATCACGGCATTTAAGAAGAAAGCTCATGATCTTGTTAAAAGAGAGAGAGAATCGTGGAATTTAATTCAAAGAGCAAAAAGTAATGTATCACGCCAGACTAATCTCCGCATGTCGGCAACGGATGGTTTTCCCGAAACAAATTCTAGCTCTCTTGGAAGTAGACTAGTTCTCACGCTTTTCGGAAATGCGCCAACTCCCAAGCAATTGTTCTCTGGACTTCAGATACCTACCAAGATTAACGATGGAAAAGATGAGGTCATTGATTCTGTGCAAGAAGACCGCTTACCTCTTGGAATTACCACCACTCGGATCATTAAAACAAACTCCTTTAGCAAGAAACGTACACAAACCTTGGGAGAGTTATTTCCGATACCATCGACTGTAATTGCAACAATTCCACCAAAGCCCTCAAAAATAACTACCACAAGGTCAACAAATGTTGGCTGGTATTGTCCGGAATCTTTGGATCTAGCATCACAGGCGCCAAGTTACTTCACGCAAGAGATTTCCTGTGGCGTATGGATTGATTATGGTAAAGTTTCGAGCTCTTCTCAAAGTACAAAGGCGAAGCATAGGGAGAAAATAAAATCTCTTCGAAATACAAAAGCTCACCTACTTGACACTGACTCAATAGAATCAAACTCTAGCAATATTGAGGCATTGTTCCGAAGTGCCTACTCAAGCTTTGCTCCTACAACGGATGACACTGCTTCCATAGCCCCTGTAGGCCTTTTAAATCGTGTGTGGTGGCAAGAAATTGGCAAAAAATCATACGGACAGTTGATTGAAGATACTGAAACAAATTATTCGCCTGATGAGTTGGAAAATGAAAAATTTAGTAGCAATAAAAATGATAACGATTTAGATGTATTTGAGAAGGGGCTTGAAGAGATTGAAAATTTACCTATTGATCCTAACCTCGAATCTGAACACGATTCCGAAAGACCTTGCTGGGAAAGAGAAGTGACAGAAATCTTAGAAAGTATCTCAGAGCTTTTGGAAGTCTTGACATCTTACCAGAGAGTTCGACATTTGTCGTTAAATTCTCCAAATCGTTCCGCATCTTTAATTCCTGCAACAGACACAAATCTTCTTGGTACACCCCTAAAACCAAGTGACTCGGAGCAATCAATTTATGAAATACTGAAATCGCAATTAATAATGATGATTGCCGCCCTTCCGCCATATGCAGTGGCAAAGTTGAGTCCCGACCGGCTAGCAGACCTTGGAATCAGCACGAAGTTAGAAGTTAAAGTAAACGATAATAAGGGTGTGATGGAAGAGGACGAATTTATCTCGCGATCCAAAGTAACTGCGGCAAGTAACACATCTAATACAAATAGTCGTATTTCTACTCACCGTAACGGTAATGGAAACGCAACACCCAGTTCACACTATGGAAGTCAGTACGCGTCATCTCAATCTCGTAGCTCTCTGACTCATTATAACTCGGCTCAATCTTCGGCTGGGTCGCCTGGTACTACTTCAGCCCCTTATCAACCTCAGAGAACCTCATCTGCTGCACCTTATCGCCCAACTAGTTACAGCGGCTTATCTCATCCGAATCAAACCCCTAGAACTGTGCAGCAACAGTACACTCAGTCAGGTCAACAGCCTCCATACTTACAATCAGGGTCAGGCCAAAATTTTCTTCGCGGGTCTAACCAAAACTTCCACCAGCCTCCGAATTCACAAGCAAATCGATATTCTGGTAAGCCGTATCAAAACCAAGTACAATCTTCGAATAGCAATTCGGATTATAGCCGAAGCGTTGGCAGTCATCAGATATCACGCCAAATTTCCCCGCAAAAGCAGCCGTATAGCCCAACAGCAAATACCGGCCAGAATCAAACAACTCATTCGTCCTCGATCCCTTCAATTTCACAATCATCCCAGTTGTACGCAATTTCGTCATTAGGTTCTACAGCAAGGTCACCCTATTCGCAACAATCAACAAATCTGGGAAGTGCGCAGCCATATAGCACTTTTATGACTCATGAACAGCAGCAGAGTATGATACAACGACAACAGGCCGCTATGGCGAGCCAGAAACAAAGCGCGCAGGACCAGGCCAGGAATACAGCACATTCCCCTACAAACGCACCTTGATGGGATAAGTTTAATTCTGAGGAATTCTTGATACCTGTAGATACATCATGATTAGGAAATCTACCTTAAAGTGTGTGATTATTAGAATTTGAATTTTGTATATTTTTTTGATTGAGCCTTTGCAAAAATAAATTTTTGACCCATTATTATTTATTATTATTATTATTATTATTATTATTATTAATTCATCTTATTGTCCTATCTGAGTCTGTGACTATGTAGAACGCGCAGGTCCTCTCTGCCTATAGGCCAAGGATACCTATGCTTCCCATACAGCTCCCCTCAAATAGTGCAACCCCTCACAAATCCTCATTCGATCATACACCTAGAGGAACCCTTTGCCCTTCATTATCTCCCCTCTCCAGCCAACAAAACGATGGCCGTCTGCGAGTGTGTAGCAGTCGGGAAAAACTGCCAAAACCACTGTGTGTGGAGCTCTTCTAATACCGGCATTAGGACTAAATCCGAAGACATAGTGATCCTTTTGAAGCGTTTGAAGAGACCGGCCAGCTGGGCGCTGCAGGCTTGTAGGTACCTCGGAAAATTCACAACCTGCCTTTCTAGCCTCCTTCCAGCTCCTTCACGAAGATCGTACTGAAATGTCGGAAAATTTTTGACTGAGTGTGATAGGCGTAAAGTAGCTTAGCCCAGCCCCTTTTGAACCGTCCAGGGCGCTGGGGAGTGCCGTTGACTTATCGATGATAGAGGTCCTCCTGCCAAATTTGCCGAAACCTTTGTCTTGGCGCCCACAAAGATTCCAAAGTTGAAATCCCCTCAAAAATATCAGTCCCAGCATGGTCTTCAGATACTTCATCTCCCTCTCGCTCTACATATCAGCCGCCTGTCCCTCCTCAAGATGTATAAGCCCATTAGAGCATCAGTTCCCCATGAACCAAGACCCCAGGCTTTGTATATTATGACTTAATTTCCACCTTGCGGGTATACGTAGCGTCGTAAATATGTAGTGGGAGATGGCTGGTAATTAACGGGTCAAGCTCCTGTTTGCAATTGGAGCAACTCCTTTATTGGTTGTTGAGGCGAGATCATGTGTGGTTAGAAATGGGTTGGACTCAGATTATAATGGTAAGAGCGGAATTATCGAGAAGTTGTCAAATGGAAATGTGCTTGTGGTTGCTTTCGACCTCGATTCGGATGCGATTCTTCTTGACTATCTCAGATTTGCAGAGCATACTGAGCGATTACACCGGCACCACTGGAAGGTGAGGAATTCGTCTTTGCCGGCATTTTGACCCATTAATCCTCAGTAGATTGATAAGATAAGATAAGACTTTAATGAAAATTCGAAGAACAAACCACGTAGAACTACCCCGCTAAAATAAAAATTGATACTAGACTCTGTAGTATTTCCCCCTCCTCAAAATTGCGCTTCTATACTTAGCTAAATGCCGAGAATTTGTAATCATCTTTTCGGAGTTCGGGCAGACGTTACCGCTAGCATTGGCCATGTAGGCAGTATCTTTTACACCTATGAATTCCGTCAAGCATTTTCTTCTACTATTTGGGCACTATCAATCTAGCATCTAGCCGTTCACTGAATGAACCAAAAACGAGATAACTAATAATTTCTCAGCCACGATCAACGCGTTCTATACTCGACCCCTCCATTTCTTCCTCGATCACGGATAGCTTTTTATTTAAGCTTCCAGATCAATGACGGCTCCAACATTTTCTGGCATGCCAGAGCCTCTGCAGACGCCAGATACACCGACTGAAGCCCCGTGAGTATTGATTGGCTCTCTTCGCTCACAAGTTTTTGACATTTCCGGCAGTGGCACCCCGAATTCAACTACCACATCGCTATCTACTCTTTCGACGACTGCATTTAAAGATGGTCATCGCGGAAGCTCCTTCCCTTTTCCTTCGCAAGGTCACCATCGACTATCTTCCAACATTCTCGAAGCTGAACGAGCTGATCGCATTTCTCGCCTTGCAGGACTAGAACGTGTTTCTGCACTGCGAGGGACAGGTGCGGGGCAGATGGCGCTGGGAGGACAAGTCGCAGGATATTTCGACCACAACGGAAACCCTGTATATATGACCAAGATGAGTACAGTGGGGAGCGCGAGCGCTACTGAGGGTACTGAAGAGCAGACAACCACATGGGCCAGTGGGAGCTTCAGAGAAGATGAGGACCACATGAGTGAAGAGACTATAGACGATCGAGAACGTTATTCCACACCCACAATGGACGATGATCACGATCACGATCGTGATGGTGATGGCGATGGCATGAGTGATAATCAGAGCTTAGTCGGCTTCGGAGAGGGTGCTGGAAGCACAGTATCCGGACCAATTTATGTAAGGGGCCGAGGCGTCTTGAGCCAGAATCAGAGCGGTCCAGGGACTCCAGTGCATTTAGACGTCGACAGACAGCGGAGAGATGCTAGGATAGTAGATGCCTTGACAGACGATAGTTTAGGTAATTGCTTTACTGACACCATCCGACGAGCTGAGGGAAAAGAACAAGCAGAGAGAATAATAAGAGAGCGGATTGGAAGCAATTCAATAACCCTGTGTCAAGGAAGCCCAGATGAAGGTAGTAGGGATTAGGAAGATACGAGAAAGACGAAAATAGATAGGAACAATTATCTAAGGATATGGCGTTTTAGGAAGATGCGCTGGGAACGCAAAGGACAAACGAGACCCACGCTATCTGGTATATTGTTCCATCCTCCAGGTTAGACTATGCATCAATATACTATTGGCATCAGAGATGGTATCTTTACACCGCCATTATGTCGAATTAGGCTGAGCAATTTCAAGGCAGAGAAATCTAATGGCAAGAGGAAGATGTCATTGAGGTTTTGTACCAGCCGTCGTGATGGACTCTGGGCCAGAGTCAAAGTCTCAGTTGACGGCTTAGCGATGCCTCTTATTGACTCCTATTCGATTTAGATGTTTGTTTTTAAATCATTTATTGTGTATGCAGCTATCTAGCCATGACACATGATAAGTATCTTGTATACATGTAAAATGACACTTTTTGCTTTGGATACACTTGTACCCTAGATATCATTTGCATAATTCGCTTTAATGTATGTTTACATACGCAAAATAATCGTCCCTCCTTCGTAGGCTACCAGCGAAATGTCCTACAACTCCTGGTTATCTAAGCATACCCTCTTTCCCACACACATACACTACGGGATCTTATGAGATTCGAACTAGCCATATTAAATCTCAAGTGAGCTAGTTGTCCAAGCTATCCAAACTCTACTTGACACAACGACCAGTTCGATGTACCACCACATCATACAACCATGGCGGTGGCTATAGCCTCCCCTGCCTAGGGCTGCAGGTATTTTGGGGCTTTTTCCCACGCACGCAGTCTCCTTCGCTGCCATTTTTTAGGTAAATGGATCTGTGAAAAAGGTGGCCGAATTTCATGGGTAAACACTGAGTTGAATGGCTATCCATCACAGGCAATATTTCACAGATCTTTTTAGAAGCAAAAGAGGCAAGGAGCATTGTACAAGGTATGGCCTGGGCTAGAGAGTCCAACGTGCTGGATAACCTCCGACTCAAATATTACAACCAAACCGCAGTAAATTTGTAGCTATATCTGTCGAATAGGGTCTTTGAAGATTTGCTCTAAATTTATTTTAAAACGACTCTCGTGGATTGCTCGGGGTTTAAGAGGATGTTCCAATAAGCCATACTGCACAGTAGTGTCATTGCTGAATCCTTGTTACTGACTTTCGCCATAAAGTTCTGGCTTTTTAGGGATCAAGTTTTAGAGTGCGCATCGTTTGTTGGAAATTAGTCTCTATAGATTTTTCAAAGATTAGTGCCCCTCCCTGTGCCGAATATCATGCACTACGCATGGTTCACCATGTACTGCGCACTAATTCCTCCGATGTTACAGTGGAAGAAGGCATCCCCTATCCCATTCCCGCGACAAGAGTAAGCCATCGAAGTAGCTTCATGAGAGAGCTAGCGATGATATTGGGCGAAATCCTCGTGTCCAGAGCGACTTGCAAATAAGACACAAAGTACGCGCAGCTTCGAGCCTTTAAGGCATGGGATGCATGGTGAGACCAATTAGAACTGCATGTATTTCACATCATGTGACTAAACGTTGACAACCGACTTCACAGACCAGGCCAAGCTAGCATTGCTGCTCCAGACCGATGGCTGAGTTTCAGACGCTAGGAAATAGCTGGCTTCAAAGGGTGAGAGTATCAGGTATACCGATAGGAACTGTCAGTGTGAGATTGACCCCGGCGCATGCAGGTATACATGGGAACGAACAGGCCGGTGCTTCAGCGGAGACTGCTTGCAGCGAACCCACCATGCGCCATTAAGCCTGAGTTTCAAGGACAACAAGACTCCCCAATGAGCGATACGAAGCTAGCAAAGCGAGTTACTTACTTTCTCGAAGAAGTTTAGGCCTGCTACTGGCGGCACGGTCAACTCGCGGCCACTTTGCGGCCTATCCTAGAAGATCCAAGCATGAAGATTCAGTCCTGCTATGCGATTGCGGCGAGGAAAGATCCCCGGAGCACCTTATTACATGTGGCAGACAGAGGGGCATACGAAAATCCCGCCCCAAGACTTCATGAGGTCTAGAGGGCGATATTAAGTGGACTCTTGGCTCAACAGCTGTTGCACTAGCATTTGAAAGATGGAGCATAGGATCACCTTCGTACAGTTATGCGAGGGGAGGTTTCTGTGTGAAATCGGGAGGGAGGGGAAGTAATAGCATTGATAGAATATAGAAAAACATCTGAGGTGTCAGAGGACACTGATGGTAAAACTAGCTCTGGCCGTCTTGTCTTGTTCATTTACGTGCTAGGTAAAGTGATTCCCGTTGCACTCCTACTGGAGCTTAAGCACAGGTGGGGCCGGGCTGGATCAGGTTAATTACCATGAAGTACATCTACCTCGTCCCACCTGAGTGACCGGACCACCTCAGACTTCACCCATGTGTTGAATCATGTCAAACTCAATCGTCCAGAGAACCTCCTTCTGCCGCGCCGAAGCGCAAATTCCTCCTCAGCCTCGGCCACCACGCGCCCAGGCCCTTGACACCTTCGCCGTCTGTAGCTTTCCCCTTTCATTCTTTCCCAGCTTTGGCTCATCTCAGCATCTCTTCATCTCATCCAGTGGTCGTTTTCTTCACTGGAGGCCTCATCCAGTCGCCCACCAAGGCCTCCTCAGTTTAGATTCCCTTTTTAGTTTCTTCTTACAGCATCCCTCTATCCTTAAGCCGATCTCGTCATACCAGAAACTTTGTAGAATGTCCACCCCTCCGGCCTTGCCCCGTCGCTGCCGTACCCCTAACCGTGGAGGTCGAAAACGCAACTGAGTGCTCAAGACCGAGGCACCGGTGCCCCAGCCTTTGTCGAACGCTCTAGTTAGTGTGCCGGCGAAATGTCGTACGTATTTCGTCAGTGGCGATTTGTCGCATGTCGAGTTTTTGGTGCCCTTGGCCGAGGTGAAGACGCATTTAAGGCCGGTATTTCGACCGTAGCTTCGCAGCGGCTGGCAGTTGCGTAGAGTCGGACATACTCTTGCTTCTTAGTTGGCGATTTGGCCTAGCTCTGGCCGTAACGGGCTCAGTGTAATGCCAAGCTACTACTATGGTACCACGGCTTCAAGTTTTCAGTGTATTTAAATGGGGCGCATATTCGCTTCAGGGGTTGTACCCCTATTAGCGCCAATTTCGACAGGGTACATAAATCTTGTCTTGGATCTCCAGGCCTAAACCAAGGGCACAATTTGATTTCATGTCACCCTCAGTTTTATGCAAATCCAACCTATTCTCTAGTGCTTTGCCATCACTTTTGTGACCGTCGACCGCTGAAAATGTACACAGCTCTTCTCATCTTATGCTTGAGTGACAATAAGAATTAGATTTCTTAAATACAAAGTTATTTATTCAGAAGACACATGGCTTTTCTCGGTACTAACCTTATTTTGCAGATGAATTTACCTCAAACCTCACCTTCAACACCTCGAATCAAACAATTATCCAGAGATCAAACCATTTTAGTAAGTAGAAAAATTAAATATCAAAGAAATGAGATTAGAAGAATTTTTAAGATTTATGGGCTATATAATCTGGCAAAAACCAGACGTAGATTGCCGTGCAACTAGGCATTTCTCGGAGACAAATAAGTTATTTGCTGTGCCCTGGAACTGTCTCCCCCAAAAAGAGAAAAAGAACATCCTCAAGACTGAAAGTAGATGATGTTGATCAGATCATATCTTACATTGAGTCTTCACCTGAAAACCGCCGCAAAACATTTCCGGAACTCGCCTCTGGCCCCTTTAGACATCTTGGTGTTAGCAAGCGGGTAGTAAAAAGAAAACTTAAAAAAAGAGGATATCAGCAACATGTAGCTTGTCTAAAGCCTCCGGTATCTCAAAAAACTATGAAGACACGCAGAGAATGGGCCGAAGCTTATCTCAACTGGACACATGAAGACTGGACGTTAGTTTTATGGACAGACAAAACTTGGGTAGAGGATGGAAGACATCCTGGAGAATGGGTGATAAGAAGTGTCCGCACATTCCTCTATAAGAAGATAGTAATTTGATGCTCTAAAATTATGAGCTAGACTTCCCAGGAATACAACGCTGATTTTGTTGGAAAAAAATCGAAGAATAGGGTCGGATTGATGTTCTGGGGTTGCTTTGCAGAGCCAGAAAAAGGCCTCTGTTTCTTTTAGGAGAAGGAATGGGGTTCCATTAACTCCCAAAAATATTGCGAGAAGATAGTTGCTCTTATTGATGGCATAGTCTCCATGAGACCTTGGCTTTCTGTAATGCAGGCTAATGCTCCTGCCCACACAGCAGCAAGTACAATGGAAGATATGAGCTAGAGGCTAATTCAACCAATTTTCTGGCCGGCCAACTCGCCTGATCTTAACCCAATTGAAGCTGTTTGGAATAGGATGAAGAATTATATCCAGCGTCATCATCTGAATCTGGGTTGCGGAAAGCAGCAAACTCAAGATAGTATTGCAAGATTGTAAAGGAAGCATGGGATTCTGTATTACCAAAAGATCTTGTGAGACTCACTAAGAGTATGCCAGCAAGATGTCAGGCTGTGATAGATGTGGATGGGGGACCAACCAGATATTAAGACCTGGAAATATTCCAGCCACATGTTCAGATCCAAGGTTTGGATAAGACTGTGGCTCTATTTTGTGATTCGAAAACCTTTGAACTCTTGCAAATAAGTTATAAAGTCAGGTAGCAAAAATTCACAAATGTTATGCAGCCAATCAATTTACCAATTAGGTTTAGTACGAAGGAAATACCCACTGCAAACTACGGTGGCCAGAAAATAACTGCCATACAAATTTTTCAAAAATTTGCACAAATACAGGGGCTAACCCCAATATGGAAGGTGACTATGCCTAAGGAGTCTTAATTTTAACGCTAAATACCTTTTCAAAGCCCCACTGCAAACTTGACACCGTGACATCACGGTAGTGTAGAACAGCATGGTGGTCCATAAGACAATCGAAGTGCCTTGTGGCCTTAGGCAGCACGGGCGGGCCAAACGCTCTTCTAAGGGCTCAAAGACCAGAGTTATCCCGTGTGCCCTCTTGGCGTTGAATGTAAATCAATCAATCAAGCTAGCGGTCTTTATGAACAATTGTACGTGTTTTTAAATGAGTTCAACTAAGCCAATACATGTCTTGGGCTTAGGGAATTTGGGACGTTTTATTGCCCACAGTCTTCACTTCTCCCAAAATATAGCACCGCCAATACATCTCTTATTTCATCGGCAAAGCCTCTGGAAAGAATGGGAGGAGGCTTCATGCCAAATTCGAGTCACATCGAACGACTGCGATCATCCCTCTAGAACTACTACTACCAGCAGCTCAATTTTTAACGTGGAACCTACCTCAGCACCAGTGACAGAATTTGGCCCGATACAAAATCTCATTCTGACGACCAAGAGTCACAGAGCACTAGAGGCCTTGAGAAGCGTGAAACATCGCATATTCCCTGACACAAATATTCTTTTCGTTCAGAATGGTCTTGGAGCAATTGAGCATGTGAACGCTGAGCTCTTCCCAGACCCATGCAATCGACCTCAGTATCTTGCTGCCCTCGTCACGCACGGGCTTTTCGCCACTGCACCCTTTCATAGTGTTCACGCCAGCCCAGGTGCCTTTTTTATTGGCCATATTTCTCCTCCATCTCAAGATACGCTGTCGTTGGTGAAAACTCTGAAAGCGACATCAAGCCTCAATGTTACATATTATGAGAGTGCGCAACTACGAACATTGCAAATAGAAAAATTAATCGCCAATGCCATTATAAATCCTCTCAGTGCTCTCTTTCGTTGTTCCAATGGACAGCTCTTTTGGATCGGGATACCTCGAATTCTGGTTAAAAACCTTATGAAAAAAATAGTCTCAGAGATCCACCATGTACTTCAAAAAACAGAGGTCCTAGAAGGGCGGATCGACCCGGATCGCTTCTCCCAGATAAATATGGAAACTATGGTAACCGGTATGGCGAAGAAGACTAGAAATAACTTGAGTTCAATGCTCCAGGATGTTTTAGGTAAGCACGAAACTGAGATAGATTTCATCAACGGATGGGTGGTTTCCCATGGAGAGAGACTCGGGCTAGACGTTACTTACAACAAGAAAGTGATTGAATTAGTTAAAGAGGGCAAGGTATTGTGTGATAGCGATATTGAGACCTATTTCCCAAACACCAATGGTGCCGATGATGTGAAGCTCTGGCAAAAGGAGCTGGAAGATTTAGGCCATAAAAGTGGTAAGAGAGCAGTGAAAGGTTTATACAATGAGCATGGCGTTTGTATCCAAGCTTGGTAGCAGGCAATTATATCGGTCTCGCGGTGTATACATGGGTTAGCAAGCATAACAGCATAGCCCTCACGGTATAACCAAACTTTTGAACCATAAGTTTAAAGATTTTATGCCAAATTTTCTGTCGATACTGATACAACCCACGTAAATGTTGAAAGCAGGATATGCCTATATAACTGTTCAATGCATGCCTCTCGTCTCTGTTTCCTTGTTTCCCTCAAATAACCTGAATATTGTTATTTTGTAATCTTTCCGGGAGTAATTGCAAATGTAGGTCGGACATATCTAGATCCAATAGTTAGCAATGAAGATGACACCCGAGTAGTATCTTCATGATCCTGGGTAGATGAAGTTTGGATATTGAAACTAGGTGCCAGAAGTGCGAAATGAAAGATATGTCTCACCTATCGCTGTTGTACGGACTCGTCTTGGTTCCCAGCAAAGATTCTTCGCGCGCCTGGTCTGCAAGATGGCGTCTTACAAGATCTCGATCCTCCTCGGCCGTGAGCATGGGGATAAGGTGAATGCGCGACCACATTTTCTCGCGTGCGAGCTCATTATGCTCACGAATCCCCTGACCCACACGCCAGAAGCCATATGTCATGATACCGGCAACACCGAATAGTAAAATTGACGGCCGAAATCCGCGGGCCGGCAGGTTACGCTGTATCGACACGCAGCTGGGTCAGCCATCTCTTTTGCCATTTGTATCGTTTTGACTATTCTCGCAGTCTTCTCGAGCTGTAATCCATCTACCGTTGGCGCTACCAAGCACTGCCTCTGCTTTTCTCTGCACGCTAATGAGTTCATTTACATACCTTATACTGGACAGGATCATATCCCCCAATTGGTGGAAGGTCTTGCGCCATATATTCGGAGGAAATATTATTCGAGACAAAATCTATCCGTAATTTTGCCGACTTTAGTTTCTCCCTCGTTTGGAAGTGGGATGCTGGAATTGCGTGACCCAGGGTGTTCGCTCGAGTATCGATATGGAAATCAACAGGGCGAGTCACGTGATATTTCCTCGTTGGCCCGAGAGAAACGTTCCAGTATTGAGGCCAAGTTTATATTCTTAGCTGGTCATAACGAGCCTTTGTGAGTGGGAAAATATCACGACAACTCTTTATACCATGAGGTTTAATAGTAGGGCGCCTTACATGTATAGTGTAAATCTTCGATTAAAGAGCAGGAATGTTGGTTCCACTCAGGTTGAGTGTTGCGACCTCAGGCCATTAAGCTCGGCTGACAATAATAGCTGACTAATATTGAGAGGCCTGTGCGACTTATCTAATCAGCATACGTTCAAAACACCCTAGATGTGATAACCTACACAATTCAGTACACTCTATTTCCATTCCCCAGCACTAGTGCTTAAGTCCTGTCAACAAGGAAGATATTAATTCCTCAAGTCCATGCGATTTTAATTTGTAGGTTCTCGTAGTGGGAAATTGGCATCTTCGGCGGACTTTAGGAGCTCGAGACTATTTATTTATTTATCGTGCCAGGCTTACACCCTCCATCCAACGGACGTGACACGCATGGAGGACATCTAGAATACAAGTTCCTCCATTCTCCAGCAAAGGCCATCCGGGGAGGGCAAGACTGAACACCTGAACGCGGTATCCTCTACGAACCTGGGAGTGAAATATTCTCCCAGGGCCAACTTCAGTCAAACTTCGCAACACCGATCAAGTTGGCCTACGAGGGAATGATTCAAACTACTCCACCACGTCAAATCTTCACTCCCAAAAAGATCGAATCATACCTAAGCCTCATCAAGTCTACAAGTACGACCAAGCTCATCCATATTCCAATAACCACACCTCTTTTCGACTTTCTCTGGCCTTAGCTGGTCGCCAGATACACGCCCACGCCGATAATTACACCCGACGGAGGAAACAAAGCGTGGCGCACAAACGTAGGAGACAGTTCTTTGGGATGGACGTGAGAGGGATCAGGACAAGTCCACAAGATGACATAGAAGATGGATAAAATCTCGACAGGCGTGAAATTTCAAATTTTGGAAAGGAGTTTTTACAAATCGAGCTTTGTGCGAGCTAAGTCTTCGTTTGCGAGAGTGCAGGCGACACTATAAACACCGCTATAGTTGGATGGTGCGGCAGTACATCGTCTTGGCCGGTCTGCCAAGTAGAGTCCGGATAGCTTGGACACATATCCCACTTGAGACAGTAGATCGCCGGTTCAAATCCAGCAAAACACAACCAAATTTCTCGTGGCGCTGGTATGCATGGATGACGAAGGCATGCTTGGATAACCAAAGGTTTTGAAAGGTCCCTTTGGTGGGTACTTACGGAGGAGGGTCGAATGTTTGTGCAAGCAAACATACCTCATAGTGGTATTTGCAAAAGAAATCCAGAGTATGAGTGTCTCTAATGTCAAAAGAGTCATCCTACATGTATACATAGCACCGGTCATGTGTCATAGCTCTATAGATGAATACACATTAAATGATTTAAAAAAAAACTGCTGGAAGCAACTAGCTCCCTAGTCTCACAGACGAATAGCGATCAAAACCGACACACGTAAACCCAAAGAACTTTCTCTCAACAGACCTATGCTTTCGCGACTGGACGCTGCCCGCTCTGATCACGGGGACTCCGCCGCATACCATCGTCGGCTTAATCACACAAACGCTCACCTACTCTGCAGTTATGGTCAACCCAAGGGCCCCACGCACTTTCTGGAATGTAGAATCCAAGCTCTAGGACCTCCTCAGATCTCTCCATCTTTCAGCGATCCAGCAAAATTCTTGTTGGGCACCTGGGAAGGAGTCCTCTGCGCGACAGAGTAGTTTGACATTTCTAAGTTCTATACAACAACTTGTTCCAGACATCCCACTTAAGGAGACAATCATTATAAGAGCCTGCCTAGACTTGGAGGCACGTGCTAAAAATCTTTGCGAAGCAAGACGTAGAAATAGCTAGGGTCCAGGAAGCCTAGGCCCGAAAATGTTATAGATGTTAAATCTTTGAAGCGGCTACATATGGTATGTGAGCTCTACCATTTGACATCGTAATTATCAGAATATGATTCCTCTAGACGGGTAATACAGCAGTACTGGAAGTAGAATTGATAAAGTATAGGGTTAACAGAACGTGTATATTACTCTGCTCGATCAGCATTACAGGAAAAATGCTGCGACTGTGCTCCTACTAATATGTATCTTCCAGCCTCGCCTACACGCTTACATGAAACTACTAATACAGGGTATATAAGATCTCCAAAAGCCCTACCCATTTTACTCTTAGGTAAACACTAATCACAACCATAACTCCATTATGTTAAGGTAGAGGGAGGATTGTGTTTGACCAACAATCTTATAGTTTATGGACCAGAATTTGCAGGCTGGAGAATGCCTAAGGGAGACAAAAAGAAGCCGGTAAGGTGGCCGCGTTCCAGGAGTGGAAAAACTCATGGACACGTCCAGCAAACGAGATACTATCTGGTCATCGAGCTTCGGCAGACCCTGAACATTGGAAAGCCGCAAATATTATTACAGATGAGACAACAGGCAGAAAAAGGATTACATATAGAAACACACCCTCAAACATCCACCGAAACCTTAGTAGGGCCCAAAGCAGTCTTGCAGTTCAGATAAGAAGTGAGCACATTGGTCTCGATTCTTATCTGTATCGAAGGAAAGTCCCCTGAGTGATTAATCCAAAATGTCAGTGTGGATATCCGTCTCAAAATGTCAAAGATATGGTCTTGGCGTGTCCTCAGTGGGCAATGGGAAGAGGAGAGGTGCTTCGAAAGGCAAAAGATAGGTCATTTGCTGCAATGATGAACAGCCCAGATGACATAGAGAGAATTACAAAATGGATCCTGGCAAAAGGCTGGTTTGAACAATTCCGGCTTGCAGGAGAAGTAGAAATAGCATTGGACGAAAGGATGAGACGATGTGGACAATGATAAGACGGATTTCACACTGTATAAACAATGTAAATGCATCTCCTGTAGGAAACCCCAGAAAACAAATAGACACGAGACAGACAGTTGTAGGGGGGTTTTGCCGAATTTGGTTTCCTCTTGTGTAAATATTATAGCTAGTAATACCTGCATTGGCTAAATGAAACTAATCAAATCTTATAGTTTAACAGTAATCTTATATACATAAAGTTCAGTATCCCGAGTCAGGGAGAAGCAGGAACCAAGCCTCCAGCGCAGCAAGCACTGGTGTCCCCTACGAACCTCCAGCTCTCACTGTAGAGTCTGCAGAGCCGAGATTGAGTAACAAAGTCCTCACTCCGACGAGGATTCCCAATCGCTTTCGCGGTCTGTATTGTCTTCATCTCTCAACACATTCCCCTATCACCATTATCATGAAGCTAACCACGATCAGATCAGATGGTAGGGTCGGAGCCCTGCTCATCACACACTCTTGATCATGGAGGAGAAGCCATCCGATGAGTATCCGGAGAGTACCCAGCACCCGATACGGAGATGGCGGATTGGGTCAAGTCGTCCTCGACTATTACAAAGAAGGGAGATATAGATGAATATGCGCACCTCTTGTGGTCCCGGTGTCTAGGCCTCGCCTGGCTGGGCCTGCAGGTTTTTTGAGAATTTTTCCCGCGCACGCAGTTTCCATTGCTACCATTTTTATTTTTTTTGGGTAGAAGGTTCCGTGGAAGAGGTGGCACAATTCCATGGGTAGATACTAAGCTGAATGGCTATTCATCACAGGCGATATATCAATGATTTTACATGTAACAAAAGAGGCGAGGAGCACTGTACAAGATGTGGCTTAGGTCAGATAGAAGCCCAATGTGCTAGAGATTCATAGACTCAAGTAGTACAATAAACAAAACATATCATATTCCCCCAGAACAAGTCATGTACGATTATACTCTTTTGTAGCCCTAATCCGAAATATAGGGGACCGTAGGAAACACTGTTGCAACCTTGGGACGAGAGAACATGCACAGTCAGTACAGAGATCCAGATCCAATGATGACTCGGAATCGATCTTGAGAAACTACCCTGCTGAGGTGTACATATCAACTTCCAGTCCCTCTACAATTATCACGGGATTCAATAATGTATCAGAGCTGGGCGGAGGTTTCGATTGTTAGCTCGGAAGATTAAAGGAACAGCCTCCTGTATGTGGGTTTTGATCGATCACAATTGAAACAGGATGGCGACAAATATAACTCGCGGCTTTACTACAGCTAATTCCGCAGAATGCGATTGTTAAACTTGAATTCTAATAGACTTGTTTATATCGCCAAACTCTCGACTCCAAAATCTACAATTTGTGCGTAGCTTACTAATTGTAGGCTAACCGCATTTAGTAGTCAATGTTACATTACGTAGCCTGCTACGTTTAGGATCCACATGTATACTAGCTAAAATAGTAGATTATAATCATATCTCAGTGTCAATGTTGCCTAGCTGTGGCGCGTCCTAGAACGATTAATTGAATAATTTTTTCTATCGAGGAAAGTCACACAAAAGATCTGAATTTACTAAATTATGATGAGACTATGGGAGTAAAAATTTTGTACATGACACAATAGGAGGGAGAAAAATTAATTAGATCTGGATTTGGGCGCACGTGTGAAGACAGAAGGAATTTATTCCAAAAGGGAATAACCTAGGGTTTGGTGACGAGTTGAATGCCACATGGAGATTTATTAGAAAACAATAATAGCCTATGTTACCGACCAAGTTTCTCTTAGACTTATAAATAATAGGATAAGCGGCATGTATATAGTACCATTGCATTTGCATATCAATATTTTACTATCCATAATGGAAGCCAGCCTAGTAGAATATAGCCAGACCAAGACAATAGTTAGACTTCATAAATTGGATACAGTGTAGGAAGCTACCAGAACCTTCACTTCGAAGATTCGTGAACATGGTATCGGTCGCATCGCGAACAAGGAGTTGAGCAAGCGTAGCAGCTCAAAAGTAGACAGCGAAGACTGCTGGCAGTGGATATATTACTCTAACCATGGAGATGGCGACAGTGCAATACCCTTGAGGTAGTGAGATTTTTGCAGCGTCGTGCCAAGGAATATAAATCGTCAGCTTTGGGGATATTGTTAGAGTTCCAATCGAGCAAGAAAGGTGGCTCTTCAAAAGCACAAGGGTGTATGGATAGTTTGCGAGTCGTAAGGTACTGTGCGGTTTTATTTTAGTTTTTATCTTTAGGGTTGCTAGGATGGCCTTGCGTCAACAGATTTGTTGGGTTAGGCACGATTCCACTCATTTATATATGAGAAGGCTTATGTAATTAGCAGAGTTCAACCAGTTGTAGCTTAGCTATGGTTGTGTCGATCCTAAAAGGGGCAGAGTATGCTAATTTCTTGGCGTATGAAAAAGTGATGAATTAATGTTGCGAGGCTTACATTCCCATTTGAGGTTTGGAAGCTCATGCATAACCGAAAATTCATCCAATTCATTAACACTTGTAGAGTTTTACCGACTGTTCTGACAGAATTCAACAACATAATCAATCCAAATTCTTATGATAAGTGGCTTGATTTATTATACTTGCATAGAAACATAAAGATCAAATTCTACCCGGCGTAGTGACATTTTAGAGAATCTGTTGACAAAGATCTTTAATTTGATGATCTTTTTATTGTGCATACGACAATACCGATGCCAATTTCGCAACTTTATGACTTCTAATTTGAGGTGAAATATAGGATTGGAATCAGGATTTAAGTATCTAGCTGCAAGCGTGGTGCTTTTTAACGTTGGTTTTTTAAAATAGAGCTCGTTGCGCCTTTATTTGCTATGCGGTTGACTCCACCTGTTTATGAAATTAAACGCACTGCGGAGTGCGCACCTTCATTTAAGCTGGCATGAAATTAGCTTCTCAACACTCTATCAAATATGTTGCTATTCCTTGAAGCTGATATAAGTGGAAAGAGGGAGACGTGAAAGGGTAAGTTATTTGTTGTCTATGGTACCTCCATCTTCTTTCTCAAACTCAGCCATCAGAAGTGCTTCTAAATCGGCGTCCCCATCCTCAGAAACAAGCGGAAAACTCTGGCCATTTTCATATTTCAAGCCATCTGCTTCGAGAGGTTTGGGTAAATTATCCTCAGAATCATTATAGGGAGTTGTAACTGTGCTAAGCCCCGATATTCGCTCGCTAGCGAGCTTTTGTTTTTTTGAGAGGATACTTTCATATTCACTGTCGTCATCTTCTACAACAGCACCGAGCTTTCGTTTGACTGAGTTTTGATCTTTAAAATTTAATGGGGTAGATTCTGACGTCTCGCTATCATTTTCAGAATCTTCTTCCCCCATAAACTCAGCTAATTCATCATCAACTTTTTCCCAGTCGAACTCTCTAAGGTCCTCAATAGGAGAGTATCTATCCACTGGTGGTATAAGGGATGTATCATTAAGCCCAGGCCCTTGGAGTGGATGAGTATTCTGATACTCAAACTCATCGCCTGTTACCGAAGAGTCACTGTCATCAGACTGATTAGTCGTTAAGAGAGTCATATTTTGGAATTCACCATTACAATGATGCTCATCCTTTTGCACATAAATCTATTCTTTGTCAGTATTGTCTACTTTTATGATCCAAGGAAAAACTTCTAAAGCTTACCAAGTATGGTTCTTCATCTTCCTTTTCCCATTTACTAATTGAATTAAAGAGCCAGTCCTGATTAACAATTTTTATACTTGGGTATTTAGTGGCTTGTCGAACCTTACTAGTGCGGTTACGAGTAATTGATGTGACTAAGTGAGTACTGCTTTTGCTGACTCTATCATTCGTCAGAGAGACATCTAGTTTACATGAGCTGGATATTAGTACTTGCTTGTTATCTTGGCACCAAATGTCGTGGCCTGGATACCCAATTCAGTCCTGTTGGAGCTTAGAGTCAGTATTTATAATAAAAAGAATGGCAATAAATCTGTTAGAAACTTACTTCATTATGTCAGTTTGAAGTGGCACAAGCCCTGATGTTACGATTATACAGCCAGCTAGAGTTTTTGCCCTAGAATTGAGTCAGTTGTAATCTTTATTGAGAAACTGATAGAATACTTCAGTTGTGGCATGACGTCCGCAATATCTGGGACCATTTTCAGATAAGTCGAGTTTTTACTTGTAACATTTTTATCGTCCAGTTGTATGTTCTTTACACCTCTTGTATTAGCAAGCACGCCATCGTAGTTTTCGTAAAATGCCTTGTGTACTCGTATCAAGTGATTCTCAAGGTATTGAAGTTCCTCATCATCATCTTTTAACAAATTGTGTCTATGATGTGGATGCTCATGATTCGTGCCATTTTCTGGTTCCGCAGTAACGACCCCTTCATCTTCTAACTCTTCTTTATCAAGTTCCTCTTGCATGTGGAGTAGTGGACGCTCGTTCAACTGTTTTTCAAGCAGTTTTTCCTGTTCAATAGCTTGTTCAAAGCGGATTGCTTGGTCGTCTCCACCACTCATCCTAACTAATTCTTCAAGCGCGCTAGCTTTACATAAACTTTTCGATTGATCTGAACTAGCTCCGACATCAAGAGTTGGGTCTTTTTGAGAAGATTCGTTAACATCGTTTGCCTCGATACAATCTTTTTGGACTACCATAGCCTCCTGACTTGGTAGAGCAATTTTCACGTCTTCTCTCTTCGGTAAAAAGCTGGAGTTAATATCGCCAATACCAAGAAAAAAGTCGTACGGGACAACTTTGATTAGGTTGGGCCGGTTTTGGGGCCAGACATCTGCTCTATCGTCAATAATGACGACCATTTTGGTACTGACCGGAAAAAGTCTGGAAAGGCTCTTTGTAGTAATGCTCCCGTTCTCATCGCGACTTATAATCCGGTCACCAAAGAGTCTCTTGTCAGGATCCACGATCTTAGCGATATTCGCTGCATAAGCTCTAGTTCCCATTGTGTAGACGTGTAGCTCATAAAATTCTGAGATCCTATCCAGGAAGCCTTTTAGTCCTGGCCGCATCTTGATATAATACCAGCATCCAGAGGCAACGCCCCTGGGGCCATCATCATTCAATTGAAAGGATCGAACATCTTTGACAGCATCGAAATTCGGACTCTGAGGGTTTCTCTGCCATTCCCCAATAGTTGGCTCAATACAAGCGTGAATGATAGTCTGATCTAGATCTACAACCAAAGAAAGTTTTCTGTTCTGTAATAATCGCTTTTGAAGCTCCCCTTCAGCTTTGGAAGCCTCATCTTCACTGATCGTAAGAGCGGTTTGGTTGTGAATCATATTTATCTTTGCGTGACCGGTATCGTCACCAGCACTAGCCCATGATACTTCAGTCATATCTTTCCCACATATACCACAAAGCCCGGCAAACTGTACAGAGTGGGGGCATGATTCTTCAATCTCGACAAAGGACATGTCATTCTGTATGACCATACCTTCGTGCACTCTCCAGGACTTTATGCACCCATCGGCAGGGCTATCCCAGTCTGCAATCGTTATCTGTTCTTCTTCCCACTCATCTCCAAACGGGTCGCCGACCTTTTGTTTCCATGTAAACTTGAATTGTAGGATCGGTTCCTGTTTTTTTATTTGGTCGTTGGGTTTTTTAAGTAATCTGTTGACCGTGAGGGGATACTTGAGCTTTGTACCGAAATTCAATAGTTTTCCCATCGCGAAATAGTTATCGTGTAAGTGTGTTAGAATAGTCTAGTTGAATCACGAACAGTATCTGAACAAATTTATCCATTAGCCAACCAAAGTTACTTGAATGTTCCTGTTATTATGATCCGTTATTATGTTGTAGATCACGGTAACTCTGCGCCACTTGGCCATCATTTTTAGGTATCTCACTAAGCGACATCATTCAAGGCAACCCACTTTTATTTTCTCAAGATTTGAAGCTCTCATGGACAGTCGTCGCGGTGAGTGCGCTGTTGTAGAGTATCCATTTGTATATTTTCAAAGTTTCTGAAATAAAATTGCGTTGGATAATTGGCAGATGGAAGGCTAATCATGGAATTCAAGCCTGAACTATTAATGATGGGTAGGCGCAATGGTTTGAAAGGTCAGCGTAGGAATTTATAGTCTCGCGGTCGCAAAACACATATTGAGATTCTATGACTGATAGATCGGAACCGGGTGATAAAACATCCGTATATCATTCGCATGAGCTAAACTAGCTAGCGCGACCCATTCAGCTCCACTTTCCCTGCACGCCTAACATCTCATCTTGTATATTGAGGCGTTCGATCCTTGAGATGCAGAAGTGTTAGGCATACCTTTGATAAGAAAATACCTGGTCATATATGATGAAAATTTAATACTTCCAGAAGATAATACCGGAGTCTTTGAACAAGCCTGTTATTTTCCGATTCAAGGTTTGAAAAGGCACATGATGCATCCTTATCATGTAAACATCAAATATGATGATTTATTGATAATGATAGCATAAAAAAGGTATAGAATTTTACTTCAGTTATCAGTGGAAACAAAGCTAGCTATTGTGTTTAGAGTTTCAAACAATATATTTTCCCGAAGTCCCACGCCAGTCTTTGGTTCGGGTGTGTAGAACCTTACACAGCGCCTAAGATTTTTGAAGAGCTACAATTTCACAAAAATTCATTATCCTCTCTTACAATCTCTCACTACCTGTAGAAAAGATACCACTACCTTGCACCTATCAAATATCCAGGTCTCAGCTTAAGTCCTTTATCCCTACAGGTTGGTTGCCTGGCCCACATGAGACTGAAAATCATGTGCGCACATACACCCCCAAATGTACCCACTAGTTTGATTACTGGGTTAAAATACACAAATTACGGGGACTTGATGCTTGAAATATCAGATAAAATGTCGGTATCTCATATTGAAATTTTCAATAAAATAGTGCAAGCTGTATCATCAATTTGGATTTTTTATGACACTTAATACTTTTATTCATTATTCAGACGACTATTCATTTATTTCTCTTGTTTAACGTCCTATGCGGTATCTACATACAGAACCATGAAGACAACAAGCCATGTTAAGATGGGAGAAAGCTTTCAAGCAACAAATTCCGCTGTCTTGCCACTTTGAGCCGGCCCAGCGTAATGCCAAGGGCGTTCCTTTAGTCAATTAACTTTTAAACTTTCCACAGATATCGTTAATCCTCCTTCGATCAGACTACCGCTAGGAGAAATTAAAAAGAGAAGACACCTCCTCACTCGGCGTTGGTCTTCGAAGTGTCCGAAGAGTCGGCCTCGATGGTGGTGCAACTATCATGGAGATAGGTGGCGCCTCTTGGGCCTCAGCTACCTTCCGCGATCGTCTCGGCTCTCTTTTAAGTCCTTCAGCCTTCTTACTGGTGACCAAAGTAAATCCTTGATCATCAGTCGTCCCGATTGTTCGCATTGGCGCCGTTGAAGGGTTTTTGTTCCATGTTTCCGCCGTTCGAGATAAAAGCTCCATCCGAGCCTTTTTCTCACTTCCCTTGTAGACCTGGTAGGCCCGACACGCTGCTATCTGCCATGATCGGTATTCCCTGGCGTAATGCGCGCAAGAAACCCTTTTCCTCGGACAGTCCCGAGTTTTGCGAGCGCCAGCGCACTTACCGCTCCTGACTACCTTTCCAAACGACGTCTGCTTGTGTCTCTTCTGGCGGTAGTTGAAGCACTGCTTTGGTTGAGCCTATGGTGACCATACTTGAGTGGTTAACATCACGGCGTTAATTACGAAGCCATGTCGAAACACTTTCGTTTGCATTGCTTCCGATGGGAGACTGACCACAATTGATCCACGAGTGCGGCCATTTTTCTTTGGCCGCTGGTGTTCCTTTCCATCATGTAAACGTCCTATTCAATTAATTATGAGGCTAGAAATCCGAGCCTCAGTCGCCGTCTCAATCTCTTTAATTATGGCGTAGTTTTCGGCATCTCTGCCGCTCTCAATTCTTGTCCGGAGTGGGACTCTGGAAACTTTATCAGGTAAATTCTACTGCAAAATTTTGAAGTCGCTTGATTGACGCATGTTAAGCGCCGAGTCTCTCTGGGACACCGACTGGACATACACTTCGGTGTCGTTGCTACGCTTTTGAAGAATTGCGTATGTTCTCTGGATATGCGTACTGCCGTTTTCGTCATTTGTGTGGCTACGATTGACGTGAAGGTACTTGTTGTCGGCATTCCCGATGCTAGTTCTAGAGCAGCGTTGCGAACGGGATCCGAGAGGCTCTTCTTTACAACCTCCTACAGCGCCATTATCCTCACCTCGATTGGAGAATGGATCTAGAACACTGCTGTCCAGGCCTTCCTGTGACAATTAAAAGCCTTCACAGCTTCTTTGATATCCTCCATGGAAGGTAAGTCTTCCTCCTCCATCTTGCCCGTCGAGATTAGTCCGACCTTTTTCAGTTGTTCCATATGGTTTCAAGGTTTTTATCTTTTGAAGCTGTCTACGCTCCGCTACTTTTGTTTTTGGTGGCCATTTTCGCTCTTTTGCGACGCGTCGAAACCGCTGGATTTAACCAAACCAGTACCCACACCCGCCATATTGAAGCACAGTGGGCGAAGAGAAGGGACGACGGCAAAGAAGATGAAAAAATGTGATTCACGTTCTCAAATGGATGGTAATGGCAGCGTGGAAGACAGTGCAGCTTTATGGCAAAACTGTTGCTTGTTGGCCGATGACTAGATAATACATGTAGGTCTCTTGTGTCTAAATGCCAAGAAAACTTCAGCTCTATGCAGTAATACTGTATCGAGTCTCTCACAGCCCCCCAGTAACAATAACATGACTTATTAGTTTTCATACGAATACACCAATTCAAGAGTGATTTGCTGGAAGGCCAGACTGAACACCTGTACGCTATGTCCTCTACGAACCTGGGAGTGAAATATTCTCCCAGAGCCAAGTTCAGTCAAATTTCGCAATATCAAAGAAGTTAGCCCACGAGGCAAAAATCCAAATTACTCCTCTAAGTCGTTTTTTCGCTCCCAACGAGTTTGGATCCTACATTCGTCTCATCAAGTCTACAAGTACGAACAAGTTCATCCTCATCCCAACGACCACACCACTCTTCGACCTTCTCTGGCCTCAGCCGGTCACCAAATACACGCCCACGCCGATATTTACACCCGACGGAGGAAACAAAGCGTGGCGCACAAACGTGGGAGGCTATTCTTTGGGATGGACGTGAGAGGAATCAGTAACAGTTTACCAAATGTTGCTGAGAATGGATACAGTCCCGACGAGCGTGGAATTTCAAATTTTGGCAAAGAGTTTTTACAAAATGAGCTTAGTGCGCGCCAAAACTTCGGTTGCGAGAGTGCAGCTGACACTATAAAAACAAGCCGACGATTGAAATTGCCGTGGGCCGCCTCCTGGTGGTGTTCTCCGGTAAAGTTTGAGTAGCCTGGGCACCTACTCCACTTGGGAAGGAGACGCCTCAGATCACATATCACGCGGAGAAAAGTTGAAAGATGATGGAGGCATGTCTGGATAACTCAGGGTCTTTGAGACGTTTCCCTAAGTGGGTATTCAAGGATGAGGGTTGACTTGGGGTGAAGAAAAAGCCGGCATAACTTCGCAGTGGAACTCGCAAATGAACTCTGAGACATGAGTGCTCTTCCCCTACGTTGAATCATCAATTCTTTACTTTTCTTTGATATTGTGTCATAGCTAGATAGCTGCATACGCAATTAAAATCTGATGCAAAAAATAAAAGGGTGATTTGCTGTTCCTTTCACGCTCTTCCCAGTAATTAAATCAAAGAATACTTATGGGTTGTCTCAAGATATCACAGGCCATTTGAAAAGACTCTCAACCACTACTCGAGGAATTAGCCCTCTTTTTCTACGACAAGCTCCGCATAGTGCCGCATTTGCGACCATTTTCTATGGGGCCGAGACCTGGTACTCCAAAGAGAAGTCTCAAAAAACATTATCGCGACTCCAACACAGGATGAACGACGCGGCTCGGGCAGCCCTTCCGGTCTATCGTACAACACCAATAGCAGCACTTCTACGAGAAGCTGGCTGGGGCCCAGCCCAGAAGTGGCTCTCCCAAATTCACAGTCGTCTAGCGGTTCGAATCGCTGCAGCTGACCCATGCCACCCTCTTCGTAGGCGATGGAACACTTGTCGCATGCGCTGGATCCGTCAAAGAATCTCGCCAGAACTTTCCGAGGACATCATCCCTCCACTGTGGTCGTCATCTTGTGAAGAAAAGCTAATTGAAATTGGAGCAGTAAGTAGACTCCAAGGATCAAATCCCTTCAAACAGTGGCAGGCTACACGACCTACCCTAGACTGGTTCGTATTCTCAGACAGAGCTCTAATAGAAGACCGAGCAGGTGCGGGCTATGTCATCTACCGAGATCTTACGCAGGAGATTGGGCGAGGATCAGTCCCGCTCGGAAACTTGGCAGAAGTGTATGATGCAGAAATTGCCGGGGCCACTGAAGGTCTTGCCGCAGCTCTTCGCAGCCCACTGGCTTATTATGGCTCTAACGTCACTGTCTGCCTTGACAACCAAGAGACTGCCATCCGTCTACTCTTGGATACGCCCACAGCGTCCAGCTCGGCGAAACTATTAATCTTTCGCAAGCTCGCAATGAACTGGAAAAGAAGATCACGCGGTCAAAATACGACGCCTGGGAAAGTGGCTATCCGATGGTACCCAAGCCATGCAGG